TAAAGACCCAATCCAAAAATGGGCATCTGAGATGAATATACACTTTTCAGATGAAGAAATACAAACAGAAAAATTATGAAAAAATGTTCAACATCACTGGTCATTTGAGATGTAAATTACAACAACATTGAGATTATGTCTTACCCTGGAAAGAATGGCTATTATCAAGAAATCAACCAGATGTTGGGGACATAGCTCAGTGGCACAGCACTTGCCTAGCAAGTACAAGGTCATGAGTTTGATTGCTGGTATAAAAATAAATTAATAATAAATAACTGATGAGGCCAAGTAGAAAAAGGAGCACTTTTCCACTGTTGGTGGGAATACAAACTGGTGTGACCACTGTGGCAATCGTTGTGGCGATTCCTCAAAAAAACTAGGATTGGAGATCTCATTTGTTCCAGCTAGCCCCCTTCTGGTTATCTTCCCAGAAGAATTAAAAATGTCATAGCACAGCAGTAGATGTGTACCCATGTTTGTAGCATTACAAATTGTAATAGCTAGATTTTGGAGACAACTCAAATGCTCATCAACTGAGGAATAGATAAAAAAGTCTGTATAGAATGGAGTACCACTCAACTGCAAAGGATAAACTGTCGACTTTTATAGGTAAATAGATGCAACACGAGACCATACCCAAAAGTGAAAAGCCAGACACAGATATATAAGCATTGTATTGTTTCCCTAGTGTGAGAAGCTGAGACAGTAAATAAGATCTGAGTGTACAATAGATACTGTAAAGTGGGAAGAAATTTCAAAAGGAAGAGAAGCTGGTATGGGGAATGGAGAAAAGGGTGCAAAAAACAAAAAGTAATATACCTTCACATACAAGATAGTTAAGACAGTTACACTAATTTCTGTTAATTGAAAAGATTTGTGCTAATATTGTTTAATATTAATATTGTGTAATATTGTTTGGACAATATTGTTTGTACTCTGAGTAAGTAATTTAAACATGATAATATACAATGTACTAACCATTATTACCCTCCTGTTAACCTTCGTTTGGTGAGGGGAGGGAGTTTGGTTTTTTTCGTTCAGTTGGTTAGCTGTTTTGTTTTTTGGTGGTTTTTTTTTGTTTTTTTGTTTTTTTTGGTCTTTTTGAGACAGAGTCTCACTATGCAGTTCAGGCTGGCCTCAAACTCATAGCAATCCTCCTGCCTCAGCCTCCCAAGATGTTACCTTGTTTTGTATTTATTTTTCCTTTAAAAAAGAAAGAAAGAAAGAAAGAAAGAAAGAAAGAAAGAAAGAAAGAAAGAAAAGAAAAGAATGATTTGGTGAATATTTATGCATTGTGGGTAAGAAGTATAACTGTTAAATCTTTAGTTAAAATTTATTCTTTTTTTCATGTTAGTTCACTTTGTCCTCTTTCTTTTCTTTCTTTTTTTTTGAATCGGGGATTGAACTCAGGCCTTTGCGCTTGCCAGGCAAGCGCTTATTCTACTGAGCCATCTCTCCGGCCCCAAGCCATCTCCCTGGCCCCTCTCCTTTTCTTTATATATTATATTTTGTCTTTCAGAATCTTTGAAAAATGGCTCTACTACAGATGATGTGAATAAAGTTTATTCTTTTCAGAATAGAAAGCACCCTGAAAAGATGGCTAAATTAGGTATGTTGTTTTTCCGATTTCTATAATCGTTATTTGCCCTAAGATATGCCCTAAATCTCTTGCCTCATTACACATCCTGAATGGAAGAATGGCATCCTTTTAGGTTGTATTGACCTGTACACAGTGGTGCCGTGACTCGTGTCTCGCTGTTGGCAACTCAGAAGCACAGGTGGGCCGTGTGCGGCAAGCAACAGGAAGGTGCTCGCATGTCTCAGCTTCGTAGTTATGTGTTCAGATGTCCTCTGTTCAGAAGCAAAGCATGTTTTCTAGTAGGAAAGCAGTCCTGTTCTCTCTCCTGTCCACATAGCCAACAAGTTAGGTTCTTAACAGATTTTATGAAATGAGTGACTTCAGGTCATACACGGATATTTTGAGTTCCTCCTGAGTTCAATCTGGGTTCCACTAAATAAATAAATAAATAAATAAATAAATAAATAAATAAAATAAGAGTTTTAGGGCCAGGCGAGATAGCTCAGAGGTCTAAAGTGCCTGCTTAGGCAGGTGCAAGGGACCACTGTTCAATGCCCAGCACCACATGCCACATCAGCCCTGGGCTGAGCCAGCCAAAAAAAACCCAGAATTTTATACTGTATATGGAATAATGCTACATGTATGATAGGATAATCAGAACAATTTATATAAAATTGTTTTTAAAAATTGGGGGAGGGCATTTGGCCGGAACCGCCATCTTCTAGTAATTTGCCAAAATGACTAACACAAAGGGCAAGAGGAGGGGAACCCGGTATATGTTTTCCAGGCCTTTTAGAAAACATGGGGTTGTTCCTTTGGCTACATACATGTGAATCTACAAAAAGGGTGATACTGTAGACATCAAGGGAATGGATACTTTGCAAAAAGGAATGCCTCACAAATATTACCATGGCAAAATGGGAAGAGTCTACAACGTTACCCAGCATGCTGTTAGCATTGTTGTAAACAAGCAAGTTAAGGGCAAGATACTTGCCAAGAGGATTAATGTGCATATCGAGCATATTAAACACTCAAAAAGTCGTGATAGCTTCCTGAAACGTGTCAAGGAAAATGATCAGAAAAAGAAGGAAGCCAAAGAGAAAGGTACCTGGGTTCA